AGATTGACCAATGCATTCACTGTGGTTTGTATAACTGTTTACTGTATTACATTATTACCCTTTCAAATATTTCAAGAAATTCTGTTATTATTGCAATCTACTCATGTATAAGTATAATTAAAACAAAATCGGAACTAAATAGAGCCTAATTTGGTTTTGTGTTTCTTAGGTTATGTATATTGATTATAAATTTGAAAAAAAAAGTATCTGCTGAGTTATGATGATTTAAATATGAGAAACCATGAAACTGTGAAATACTTTCGTCCGCGCCATCTTGCCATAAAGTACCCGCCAGCATGCGGTATAAACAAGAAAGTCAACAAAGCATAATGACGAAATACTATATCTGATTGTGTATAAACAACTTAGGAAGACATAGTTGGCTAGATTGGTAAATTTCCTTCCAGCCTAGGGAGTTTCGACTTTTACAATAATGTTATTAACAAGCGTATCAACATGCAAACATTATGGCTGTGCGAAAGATCGAGACAGGCATTTTGTTTTCTTTTTCTGGCCAACTGGTTTCTAATAAAATGCTGTAGAACAGACTGGTTGTTTCTGTGTGGATTACTTGGTTTAGGTTAAACGGGGTGTGTTTAGAGATCTAGGCAGGACTTTATGTCATTTTTTTTAAATTATGCTAATTTATTCGTGACGTAGCAGTTTCTGTGCTTCATGGATATTCATTAATTAGTGTGTCAATACATTCTAAAAGGGGCGATATATTTTTTGGGGGGGGAGTCAGAAATGGGGAATTAGCAATCCTTAGAGGTGAATACAAAAGAAGGGACCCATTTAGATAGCAGCAAAGAGCCTAGTGTCTGCTGTTGTCAACTGTGTTTTATTTCGACGCCAGCTTCGTCGTCTATGTCTGGCTTCCATGTCAATGATATACTAAAGCTGCTCTTTATGTTTTTAACGTCTTCCATAAGAGTGTCCAGTCTGTGATTCGAACTTGCAATTTTTGAGTTCCTAGCGCACTGTCTTGTGCACTCTACCACGAGGATATTCACACATGTGGTAGTTCCTACTTTAAGTCCTACTTATAGGGAGTATAGGGAGTATAGCGATCTCTCACATTGCTGATATTGCACAAATCCAGTGAGCCATATGGGCAGTCATACAAATGAATGATTTGTTGTCATATTTAGCTTGATTGCAAATTATTGTTCGCAAGAAATGTCAGGCCGACCCGACCCTAACCCTAATGCCAAGACACGATTCTGTTAATAATTGTAGCTCAATAATGATACTCTTTTGTACACTGTCTGCGGGTAAGTTGCATTGATGTTAACTGATTAAACAAGTCGCGTTTAAGTAATTTCCATTATTAACAAGTGGTTAAATTGTGACAATAAATGTGTGGACATATATATTTGAGACTTATTTTGGTTTAATAATGTTACAACATTACAAGTTGTTAAATTGAGAGAATAAATATATGGACAAATTATTAATACTTATTTTGGTGTAAACAACTCACGTTTGATTAATTCCCACCAATTGCTAGTTGTTAAATTGAGAGAATAAATGAATGGGCAAATATTTAATAATTATCTTGGTGTAAACAAGTCGCGTTTAATTTACTTCCACCATTACATGTTGTTAAATTGTGAAAATAAATGTGTGGACAAATATTTGAAACTTATTTCGGTGTAAACAACCACGCGTTTGATTAATTCCCACAATTGCAAGTTGTTAAATTGAGAGAAAAAAATGTGTGGACAAATATTGGTCATATATTTGTGAGTAAATATCTGGCGTTTAATCAATTTCCACATGTACAAAGTTGTTAAATTGAGAAAATAAATGTATGGACAAAAATTTGAGACTTATTTTGGTTTAGACAACTCTCGTTTAATTATTTTACACCATTACAAGTTGTTAAATTGAGAGAATAAATGTATGGACAAATATTTGAGACTTATTTTGGTGTAGACAAGACGCGTTTGATTAATTCTCACAATTACTAGTTGCTAAATTGAGAGAATAAATGTGTCAACAAATATTTAATACTTATTTTGGTGTAAACAAGTCACGTTTAATTAACTTCCACCATTACAAGTTGTTAAGGTATAACATTCCACAACACCACAGAAGATATTTGTCTGTTACCTTGACTTGGATCTTCTGTTTATTTCTTGTCACAATCTTGAAACTGTTGAACAAATTGCGCGTCGTCAAGATTAAGACGTGTGTTATTTTATTATTTATTCATTAAGTTTTGTATGGTGGAGTTTCGCGACGTTTTTTGTTGACTTGTTACGGTTTGAGGGATTTCAGTTTATTTGATTTAGGTGTTTACGGTAGTTTTGAATGGGACTCGAACTCACTGCCTTTTCAAGCTAATTTTGTTTTATCTCGTTGGCACGCTTGTGTACCACGCCACGACTTTGATCGTTTAGTGGCGTGCGTGTGCGTGACCCTTGACGTGACCCGACTGACTACTAGTTATATGATCGTTCTGTTCAACAGTTAAGCTAGGATTTATTACCGTTATTATCATTATATTGTCATGTGATTTGTTTCATCATATGTGTAATGTCTTAAGTATCTTTATTATACTGTATATAGCAATTCGTATATGCCGAGGAAACGACCCCGATTGAAGGTCGTGGAACGAGTTGTTAACCGAAACTTCCGTGCAAGCCATAGACCGAATTACCCGATATAGGCAATCCTTACATATTGCTCAACGAGACTTGCAAAAATATGTACAAAAAGAGTTTAAGATTTGGAAAATTGCAAAACAAGATTTAGAGCGAGAGCAACGTGCTGCTAATCGCGAGGCAGATACAGTAGAACGACAAAGAGTATTAGAACAGGAATGTATTCAGGGAGAAATAATGTTTGGAAGGCAGAAAGCATTAGAGTTGAACAAGTTGAAATTTGAAGCAAATCTTGAAGCACAAAAACACGAACCTGAGTTAGAAAGATTGAAACAGAAAGGAGCTGATCAGAATCAATCCCAGGTTAAAATACCTAAATAACCAGAGTATAAAGAGCGAGAAGATATTGACCAATATGTTCTCCGCTTTGACATTTATGCAACACAGGCCAAGCAGAACCGACGTGATTGGGGGCAAACTTTAGTTACTTTCTTTCTGGTCGTGCACTTTCTGTTTATAACACACTGAGTCTAGCTTGTTGAATGCCTACAATCTTACTGAAGAGGGTTACCATTCTAAATTGCGTAACGCAAAACGTGGTAGTGAAGAAACTCACTCACAGTTACTTGTGCGCCTAGATAATTATATTACCAGGTGGGTAGATATGTTTAACATTCCAAAGACATATAAGGTATTCAAGGAGTTAGTCTTGAAGGAACAACTATTAACTTGCTGCGCGCTCGAAATTAGAATGTTTCTTGGAGAACATCCTGAGCTTCCAATTACAGATCTGCCTAAGAAAGCTGATACATACAAAGAAGCTCGGAAATATGAAGCTTCCTGGAACAAATCTGTACAAGCATTCTGACCTGCTGGCCAAAAGCAAAGTCAACATTCCTCTACAAATGTGCTCAGCATATCACAGTGTCGGCGTTGTGGTCGCACTGGACATGAAAAGAAAACATATCATGCATCACGACATGCAATCACTGGAAAAGTTCTGGTTGTCAATGTGTGTAAGGTAGAAACAGGTGATAAACCTTTGAACGGCCAGACAGGCACTGAAGGTGTAGGCACGAAAGCTTCGGATCCTGATATTGTGCAACATGTCTCAACTAGAGGCGAGGTCCAATCGTATAGGATGGTTACAGTTACTGGGTTGTTGTCTGTTGATATGGCCGATCGGGCAAGACACAACGCGCTCTCAGTGACTAAGGGCATCGTCAATGGATACACAGTTGATACCTTGTGTGATTCTGGGTGTAGTGGAGTGATTATAAAAACTAGTCTAGTAAAACCTAAACAGTTTATTAACAGGTACAGTACTTGTGTTGTGATTGATGGCAGACATAAGGTAGCACGAGTAATTGTGTGCACGCCGTTTTATAAGGGGTGGGTCAATGCGGTGTGCTTAGACACACCTGAATATCCCGTAGTTATAGGTCAAATAGTGGGAGCAAAATGTTTTTGCTCTCATTCACCGAAGATCCCAGGTACAGCTAATAAAGCTGATTCGCTATACAACGAGAAACAAAGTCTAGTTGTTGCCAGCGTTCATCAGGTTGAATACAACACTATGTTTGATACCCCTGCTGCTAAGAAAAATGTTAGCAGTAAATATGCCGATAAGAATAATCTCGGCTCTTGGGACAGTAAACAGATGCTGTCCCGTCCATTTATTTTTATAATAAAGAGGCAAACATTTATGCTAATGAGAAAGACATTGGTGGTCAGTTTGTTTGTTAGTAAAAGCAGTGCCGACCTGCGGATCGGTGAAAACGATGCCGTTCCACATGTATTCATTTGTAAAAAAAATATGCAAATGATGTTGCTGATGGAAAAGACGTTAGTAATAGGTCGAACACTTTTAATCAGTCCACGGGCGCAAGTCCCTTACAAACTACGACAATCAACAATGTTGACAAATCCAACTTGGCCTTTGACCTCTATCAAGCCAAAGGTGAATGCTATAGTGTATATGGCACTAATGATATATTTGATCTAGCCCATTCACACAATAAAATAAAAGGTTCACTATTACAAAATCAAAATGACGAGATGCGTGATGAAGAATTTTTCACTCCTCCGTCGGATACCAGTCCACCATTCCATTCGTTGCTGAATTGGATAGCGATGATCATACTAACAATGCTGATTTCATTTGCACGGCACAACTAGCAGATAAAACCTTGATAATCCCTTTAAAGCATGCTAAAACAGGTAAAATTAATCAATGTGGGAAGGGTGCCCAAGCAAAATTTCAGACAAAGATAAATCTCTTGTATCGGTTGTACATGGCAAACAATGTAAATGCTGATAAATAAATAAGCCAGCTGGTGGTTCCTGAAAATTAAAAGAAGGCAGGTCTTGAGAATCGGCCATGACTCAATTATGGGTGGACATCAGAAAACAATTGACTGTATTACATCACAGTTTTATTGGCCGAACTCGCATGTAGATGTAAAACATTATTGCCAATCGTGTGATGTGTGTCGACGCACAATTCCTAAAGGCATGGTTGGAAAAGTACCGCTGGCAAAAATGCCATTGATTGGCATCCCATTACTCAGGGTAGGAGTAGATCTTGTGGGTCCCATTAAATCTCATAATCCTTGCAAATTCCAATATATTTTGGTGCTGGTAGATTATGCCACACGATATCCTGAAGCAACACCTCTTAAGAATATCCGGGCGGTTACCCTAGCGGAGTCCCTTGTGGTTATTTTTAGTAGAGTAGGAATACCAAGGGAGATCCTTTCCGACTTGGGAACTCAATTCATCTCAGAGGTCATGGCCGAGGTCACACGACTGTTAAGTATTCGCAGGTTAACCACTACTCCATACCATCCACAATGCAATGGGCTTACAGACAAGTTCAATGGCACTCTTAAACGTATGCTTGTGCGTATGTGTGAAGAACAACCCAGTGATTGGGATCGGTTTATAAACCCTTTGCTTTTTGCATATCGAGAAGCAACCCAAGCCAGCTTGGGTATTTCACCCTTTGAATTGTTGCATGATCGAACTGTGAGAGGCCCTATGGAAATACTGAGTGAACTTTGGACAGAGGAAAATGTAAACTCTGAGGATAAGCTCACCTATCAGTATGTCTTAGATTTGAGAAATCGCCTTGACAAAACTTCAAAAATTTAGTGACGTTTGTCATTTTGATAAATCAGCAAAACTGAAAAAGTGGGTGATCTGATATGTTTACTCTTACCAACGGTGAGTGATAAGTTGCGCCTACAATGGCAGGGACTATTTCCTGTTGTGGAGAGGCTGGGAGAAAATGATAATTAGATTATAAAAATGGAAAATCAAAACTCTTCCATGCAAATATGCTAAACAAATACCATGGACGCGTAGAAGAGCCCTTACCACCCAAACCCAAACTTGACAAAATTGATTTTGGTGTACTAACGCAAGTAAATATTAGCTGGATTTATAGTCAGCCACATGAGCACGGTATTGACCAATCAGGGTGGTTCATTTACAACGTCAATGATACAATGGACCCCAGCTCTATGTAAGAAACGGGGCAAATATCGTCTGCTTTGCGTGTCTTTTTAAATCGTTATAAAAACAATAGGCTCGTATGATAGTTCAAATTTTTATTCAGGCTTGATTAAAATCACATTAAGTTCCTAAAATAAACCATAAAATCCACAGTTCAGTGCCCCTTTAAGTAATGCTCGAACCATACTGTGATTGTAACACACAATGCTGGAAAAACACGTGATTTACTTTAATTTTAATTGATTTACTAAAAAATGCTGATGTAGAGAGTTATCATTGAAAAACATTTCTGATAATGTTAAATTTACCATGAAAGGTCTGTTTTGCTTTGCAGTTCTGTGGCTTTGGAAACCTTACCATTTTTAAATGCTTAGGTTCGGTATTTATTCCACATCCTTTCTGTCTGTGCACACGTGCTATCTAAAGAGCTACCTTCACAAGTGATGTTCAGTTATTTAACTTGCACTGATTTATTTGCCAGGAACAATCATTAGTGAAAAAAAGATCAACTCCTGCTGACTCTTAATAGAGAATCTAATATACCGGTAAATGTCAATTGAACATTTGAATGACGTCATTTCTATCATCAAAGCAAGATGCTTATTTTTATGTAATTGAATTTTTTTTTAATTTACCAATATTTTCTTATTGCTTACTTGTCTTGATCAAAAATATATAACAATATTGAGTAAATCGTGTGTCTTATTTTGTTAATGCCTATTAGTGTTAAAAGTGTTAAAACTTAATGAAGCTTGTTTTTTGGTGAAAATATTTTCTTGTTTTATACTCTCCTGACTACTAACTCATTCTCTTGACTTACCGTATCTATAAATTTCAATAGTAGTTAAATCCAACCAGCCAATCAATGAATCCATTTAAATCCAACCAGCCAATCAATGAATACATTTAAATCCAACCAGTCAATCAATGAATACATTTAAATCCTACCAGCCAATCAATGAATACATTTAAATCCAACCTGCAAATCAATGAATACATTTAAATCCAACCAGCAAATCAATGAGTACAGTTAAATCCAACCAGCAAATCAATGAATACAGTTAAATCCAACCAGCCAATCAATGAATACAGTTAAATCCAACTAGCCAATCAATGAATACATTTAAATCCAACCAGCAAATCAATGAATACATTTAAATCCAACCAGCAAATCAATGAATATAGTTAAATCCAACCAGCAAATCAATGAATACAGTGAAATCCAACCAGCAAATCAATGAATACAGTTAAATCCAACCAGCCAATCAATGAATACAGTTAAATCCAACTAGCCAATCAATGAATACATTTAAATCCAACCAGCAAATCAATGAATACATTTAAATCCAACCAGCAAATCAATGAATATAGTTAAATCCAACCAGCAAATCAATGAATACAGTGAAATCCAACCAGCAAATCAATGAATACAGTTAAATCCAACCAGCCAATCAATGAATACAGTTAAATCCAACCGGCAAATCAATGAATACAGTTAAATCCAACCAGCAAATCAATGAATACAGTTAAATCCAACCGGCAAATCAATGAATACAGTTAAATCCAACCAGCAAATCAATGAATATATATAAATCCAACCAGCAAATCAATGATTACAGTTAAATACAACCAGGATTTCAATGAATACAGTTAAATCCAACAAGCAAATCAATGAATACAGTTAAATCCAACCAGCAAATCAATGAATACATTTAAATCCAACCAGCCAATCAATGAATACAGTTAAATCCAACCAGCAAATCAATGAATAGAGTTAAATACAACCAGCCAATTAATGAATCCAATGACTTTGTGTCATGTTTAAATGTTATCAGCCAATAGAAACCTTATTTCATTTTTAGAAGAAGTTCAAACAATATTTTTTTTCTAGAGAAGAGCTGGAATCAAAGATGGTGGTCATGGCAACCATGTTGATTTACCGATAGCCTGGTCTGAGTTATCCATAATGGCACAGTGCCAGGGAAAAGTACAGGAAGGTAATGATTGGTCAACTTTTACAATGACATCGCTGAATGCCCTCACAGTGAACTTTAGACACAATTGCTGCCTAGGTGTGGAACAAAAAAGTCGCAGACTTGTTTCTTTCCTCTCAAATAGTGTCTTATTTTTCACATCATTGCGCCCAATGTTTCAAATACCATAGTTATGTATATCAGAAGAGTGGTTGACGTGATGACAGTGATGAATTGAGAAGTGTTTTGAAGGTAAATCGCGAAGCTTTGTTGTCATTTGCCATTATTTTGAAGAAAAAACAACATATGCTTCAGTTTAAGATTTCGTTTATATTTCTAAAATTGGATTACATTAAATAATTGCATGAAATCAATATTTTTTTAGTGAAAATTAAAACGAAATACGTAATTGTTTATGGTCGAATTGTGGGCTACAATTTTAGAACTACTTTCAGTGTGTTAAAATGGCAGCTATTTCGTGTTGCCTATACGCGATATTTACATTTCACTGAACCTACTTAATATTGTCGGAAAGTAAGAACACTTTTACATTATCTTTATTTTGAGCATTTTTAAGATTTAATTTTATGTTATAAAACTATTGAAAACACTTGTTGTAGCCGGTAGCATACTTGTGTGATTATTACTTGCTTCTAAATGATTGCATATATGGACTACCTTGTGCGCAATTATCTACGCAATGAAAAACAATTTGTATCAACTATTTTCCTTTACAATGCAGCACTTTGGGAAAAGAAATTTGATGTGACTGGAGTAAACCACAGAGACAATGGCCTTATTATTTTAGTTGTTTGACGGGCAATCATATTTGCATTCAGACTTGTCCTGACTGAAAATTTACTTGCCATGGGTGTCGGGCGATATGAATTTTCGAGCCCTGATATAACTTTTCAATATATAATATCAACAAACGTTTTGTGTGGCTAGTACTTATAATAGAAGATAAGGATGGTCAAAAAAAAAGAAATTGGCTAAAACATGTTATGACTTGAACTTTTCTTAAGGAAGAAGCCTACTCATGAATGCAAATACCCAGGATGTATTCATTTTCTAATAAATACTTTCGGGCATTATAAGGATATTGACTTTGGGGGTCACCAGCTTAATTTTCGAGAAAATGATGGTTGTATTTTAGTTGTATTTCACCATAAGTTCCCATGGCAGAGATAATATGTCACATCTCAAATTGTAGGCTGGTGACATACATGTAGGCTGTATTGTTAATTAATGATTTGGTACTTTTTATTATCCTGAATTATTTCAAAAGCTGGGTTTTAAAAAATGGCAAAAAATTCAACTTTTGTTAACATTGGCTCTATGGAGTTTTTCTAAAAATAGTGATCTTTGAAAATATTTTGTATCTCAAATATGTCACGGTAACACACAAAAAAGTCTACTTCATGCTGCCATTGGATAATGATTTCATGTTGCCATTGAATAACTATTTCATGTTGCCATTGAATAATGATTTCATGTTGTCATTGGATAATGATTTCATGTTGCCATTGCATAATGTTTTCATGTTGCCATTGAATAATGATTTCATGTTGCCATTGGATAATGATTTCATGTTGTCATTGGATAATGATTTCATGTTGCCATTGGATAATGATTTCACGTTGTCATTGGATAATGACTTCATGTCTAATGAACACTGTCTTACGATTTATGAAAAACTTTCTCAAAGTTATTAGTAGGCTTCTATCTCACATGACAGATATATGACACTGGGATCACAAGATACTTTATATTATCATACATCTGCCACCGTAACGCCATAAGTTACAGGGTGTCGTAATTTTGTGGTATTTTAACAGGTTATTTTCATCCTACCATTAGAAAATGCGAATTCCAAATATAGAATGATGACGCACGTAAGCGTCTTCTAATAATAAAAACAAACTTGGCTGCCACCAAAGTTTGGCCGGACTCTACACAAATAAGTTTGCTGATTCTGTCCTAAACAAGCTGCGTGTAGGCTGTTACTTGTGCATACTTTGAGGTATCCTTGTAATAAAATCATATATTTTCTCGCATATTTTATGGTATGAGTATGATGGCATTACGAGGACAAAGTACAAATGAAGACAGAAAGGCGAAAGTATACAATGATACATAGCAGAGGACGATTCGTAAACTTTAATATTTTTGTCTTTTCGGCAATTGTTGGCTATAGGTCAGCCTGTCACCCACCATTGTGATTCTTGGGACGAGACTAGCCAGTAGTCATTCTGGAAATAACCTTAATTTCACATTCTGACACAACTCATTTGTTCTTGTACATATTACTGTAATGTCATTACTCCAGTTTGCAACTGGATTTTCGTTACATCATGATTAAATATGAACTGGTTCCTTTAACAAATTGTATCATAGATCATACCATCTTGAATTGTAATTCAAGACGACGATTTTAAATCATCAATCCCTCTGAAGATATACCGCCACTGTGGATATGGATACTTAAAACACATTAGTATCAATTTACTATGACTATTATTACTTCAATAAGATATAACGCATACAATTTTATTACAAATACAACCATCTTGATTTCTTTGCTCTACTAAAAAAAATATGTAAGAAATATAACAATTTTCAGTTAATAATAAATAATGTGACCCATCTATATCATACTGGGCA